TAACATACCATTCATGTATTTAAAACAATGAAAGCTAGCAACTAAGAAGATCAACTAAAGAATGGATTTCTAGGTGCTGAAATTTATCATGCATTCATGAAGAAAAACATGTACAACCCACTCCACATGTTCTCAACTAGAAAGCTGACACGCACAAGCAAATACCAAACCCACCTTTTTTGCTTAAAGAAGAAATGCAAATAGGAAGAATGGAAGGCAACATTTAAACACATAAGAATAAAGAATGTCAATGGTGTTCTCATAATAGGAGCCAATTATACACAACTTGAGTCTGTCAGCTAAAAGGCAAGTTAAAAGTGGTATCTTCCTTTCTGTTCATAATGTAGAGAATAAAAAATCCCTACAGCTCAGCTTGTTTGGTTGGAGGATGCTACAAAAGTAAGCTACATTGTAAGGAGATCAATATATACAAGAAATATCTATTCATCAGCATAATGAGTGAACAACAGCAAAATTTATGAATCATACATTTCAAATCAGAAGAAGAGAGAACGTGATTATTAATTTAAATGATGTGCAATGGTAGGCTTTCACAGACAACCACCACAAAGAATCCTGAAATATGCTTAGGCCTTTTTTTTTCTTCATGTTGTTAACTATGCCATATTTCACAAACCAAGAAATCAGATGTCATTTTTCTTAGGAAGCCCAGTAATGGTACTAACTTCACAAACCAAGAATTCATACTTACAACCAACATTTCACACAAACCCAATTCAAATTAAAGCTCAACCAAACCCTAGAAAACCAAAGCAGCAAAATTAAGCTTCAGAATTAGCTCAAACTAACTAACAAACCTTAAAACTGAAACCAAAAAAACAAAACCCAAATAAAATCTTTAGAAATAAGCTTTATTACTTCTCATAATTCTCCTATGCAAGAACTCTGAACTCAACAATGTAAAATTGAAAAAGAAAAAAGTGTAAAAATACCCAGATAGAGAACTAAGCAAAAAGGAGGAAAGGAAGTGAAGAAATGAACCTCTCACCCATGTTTTCCTTCCCAAATTGGTTTTCTTTCAAGGGGAATACGGAAAGGCGGAAGCAGAACAGAAAAAAAAAAATCGCGGCAAGAAGTAGTCAAGGTGGACGAGATTCTTTGGTAAGAAACGAAATCAAGGGATTCTGACCCAAATACAGAATTAAATAGAGCTGATCTAGGAGGTAGCCATATGCAAATCAATAAAAATTTGGGGAAGGAAGAGGAATTACCTGAGGCGTGAATCTATCGAGAGAGATTATGAAAAGTCAGGTAGATGCGCGCGATCGAGAACCTACTATCAAGGAGAGGTTGGGTGGCTGACGACGCGAAGGTGAAAGAGTAGCGAGAGCAGCGAAGGTAGCGGCAGAGTCAGGGCAGACGGTGAAGGCTCATCGTCGTCAGTGAGAAGAGAGTGCAGACCAAATTCAATTCAAAATTGAAATTCGGGGGTTTTAGGGTGAAATTGAAATGCACGGTATTTACTCTTGAGAATTACTCTGTTAAAATACATGTATCTCATCCAAATTCAATTACATTTTATTTAGGTAAAAACAAATAGTAAAATTGAATTTGAGCACTTCAAATTCAAATACGCACTGTCAAATTCAAGTTGCCAAATAGAGCACAAGACAAATTCACAAATTTAGCCCAAACTCCAATATTGAGCCCACCAACCATTTATTCAAGCCAAACCCAATCTAGCATCGACCCAACTTGATAAAAAAAAGGCCTAAGCTCAGTTGACTGAATTAGTCAACTTATTTCCATCTCTAAAACTCACTGTTTCTCCCCTTTTATGGCCAAAAGAAAACCCTTAACATTTTCTAGCAGCTTTTCTCCTCTTTCCTTGCACAGATTCCTCTCTCTTTGCTTCAACCATTCGTCGTCGGCATCCATCTTCTTTCCTCTCTAGTCATCATCATCATCATCATCATCATATTCCATGCCCTCAGAACCATCAAATTTCATCCAAGCGTTCACCTTTTCCCTCATCTCTGATTTCTCCTTCCATTTTTTATTTTTCTGTGAAAGTAAAGATGTAATATGAGTAAAAATAGACATAAACTCAAGATTTAACTTGAATTGACGTGAACATAAATACTGAAATTGAAAGAACATAAACCGAGTTTTATCTAGTATATACCAACAAACATAAACAAAAACATAAAGCGTACATACTGTCTTTTCAAAGAAAAATAGCAACTCAAACATGACAGTTACTAAAAAAATAAAGAAGTTAAGTAACTGTAACATAAACTACCACACCATTAAGCGTAAATCACAAAATTACATAAAGAAAACTATTACACAAAGATAAGTGCTAACACATAACTGTCACAATAAAATTAAAAGACTTGGTGTCAATTGCTTCAACACTCCTCCTTGAGAGCAAGTCTAGTAACTCCAAGCTACTCTCTCAACATTTCAAACCTCTGCTTTGGCAAAGACTTTGTAAGAATATTAGCAAGTTGAACATCTGAGCTACAATGAA